CAGACTGGATACATAAACAGGACCCAGCATTTTGCTCCATTCAGGAAATGCACCTCAGTGTCAAAGACAGACACTACCTCAGAATAAAGGGCCAGAAAACATTTCCCAAGCAAATGGTCCCAAGAAACAAGCTGGAGTAGGCATTCTAATATTAAATAAAATTAACTTTCAACCAAAAGTTATCAAAAAAAAGATAAGGAAGGACACTTCATGTTCATCAAAGGAAAAAGTGCACCAAGAACTCTCAATTCTGAACATCTATGCTCCAAATACAAGGGCACCCACATTCATAAAAGAAACCCACACGCCTTTAATCCCAGCACTTGGGAGGCAGATGCAGGCGGATTTCTGAGTTCGAGGCCAGCCTGGTCTACAAAGTGAGTTCCAGGACACCCAGAGCTACACAGAGAAACCCTGTCTCGAAAAAACAAACAAACAAACAAACAAACAAAAAAGAAGAAAAAAAAGAAAAAAGAAACTTTACTAAAGCTCAAAGCACACATTGCACCTCACACAATACTGAGAGAATTCATCACTCCACTTTCATCAACAGACAGATCATGGAAACACAAATTAAACAGAGACACATTGAAACTAACAGAAGTCATGAAACAAATGGACTTAACAGAACATTTCATCCTAAAACACCTCATGTTACCTTCTCTAAAATCAACCATTCAATCAGTCACAAAACAGGCCTCAACAGATATAAGATGATTGAAATAATCCCATGCATCCTATTAGATCACCACAAACAAAGGTTGATCTTCAATAGCAACAAAAAGAGCAGAAAGCCCACATACACATGGAAGCTGAACAACGCCCTACTCAATGATAACTTGGTGAAGAAAGAAATAAAGAACGAAATTTAAAACTTTTTAGAATTTAATGAAAATGAAGGCACAACATACCCAAACTTATGGGACACAATGTAATCAGTGCTAAGAGGAAAACTCACAGCTCTAAGTGCCTCCAAAAAGAAACTGGAGAGAGCATAACTAGCAGCTTCACAGCACACCTGAAAGCTCTAGAACAAAAAAAAAGCAAATGCACCCCAGAGAAGTAGATGGCATAAAATAATCAAACTCAGGGCTGAAATCAACCAAGTAGAAACAAAAAGAATTATACAAAGAATAAAAAAAAAAAAAACAGGAGCTAGTTCATTGAAAAAAATCAACAAGATAGATAAATTTTTAGCCAGACTAACCAGAGGGCACAGAGATAGTATCCAAATTACAAAATCAAAAAAAGGGGGAAATATAACAACAGAAACTGAAGAAATTCAAAAAATCATCAGATTCTACTACAAAAGCCTATATTCAACAAAACTGGAAAATCTGGATGAAATGGACAATTTTCTAGACAGATACCAAATACAAAAGTTAAATCAAAAACTGATAAACTATCTAAACAGTCCCATAACCCCTAAAGAAATAGAAGCAGTCATTAAAAGTCTCCCAACAAGAAAAAAAACAAGACCAGAAGGGTTTAGTGGAAAATTCTATCAGAATCTCAGGCCGATACCTAAACATAGCAAAAGCGATATACAGTAAACTGGTAGCCAACATGAAACTAAATGGAGAGAAACTTGAAGCAATCCCACTAAAATCAGGGACTAGACAGGCTGCCTGCTCTCTCCCTACCTATTCAATATAGTACTTGAAGTTCTAGCTAGAGTAATTAGACAACAAAAGGAAGTCAGAGGGATACAAATTGGAAAGGAAAAAGTTAAACTATCACTATTTGCAGATGCTATGATAGTATACTTTAGTGACCCCAAAAATTCCACCAGAGAACTCCTACAGCTGATAAACAACTTCAGCAAAGTGACTGGATATAAAATTAACTCAAACAAATCAGTAGCCTTCCTCTACTCAAAGGATAAACAGGCTGAGAAAGAAATTAGGGAAACGACACCCTTAACAATAGTCACCAACAATATTAAATATCTTGGTGTGACTCTAACCACACAAGTCAAAGATATGTATGATAAGAACTTCAAGTCTCTGAAGAAAGAAACTGAAGAAGACATCAGAAGATGGAAAGATCTCCCATGCTAATGGACTGGCAGGATTAATATATAGTAAAAATGGCCATCTTACCAAAAGCAATCTACAGATTCAATGCAATCCCCATCAAAATTCCAACTCAGTTCTTCATAGAGCTAGAAAGAGCATTTCTTAAATTCATTTAGAATAACAAAGAACCCAGAATAGTGAAAACTATTCTCAACAATAAAAAAACATCTGGGGGAATCATCATCCCTGACCTCAAGCTGTACTACAGAGCAATAATGATAAACACTGCATGGTATTGGTACAGAGACAGGCAGGAAGATCAATGGAATAGAATTGAAGACCCAGAAATTAATCCACACACCAACAGTCACTTGATCTTTGACAAAGGTGCTAAAACCATTCAGTGGAAAATACAAAATTTTCAACAAATGATACTGGTTCATCTGGCAGTCAACGTGTAGAAGAATGCAAACTGATCCATATTCTTATCTCCCTGTACAAAGATCAAGTCCAAGTGGATCAAAGACCTCCACATAAAACCTGATACACTGAAACTAATAGAAGAGAAAGTGGGGAAAAGCCTCCAACACGTGGGCACAGGGGGAAAGTTCCTAAACAGAACACCAATGACATATGCTCTAAGATCAAGAATTGACAAACGGAACCTCATAAAATTGCAAAGCTTCTGTAAGGCAAAGGATACTGTCAATAGGACAAAATGGCAACCCACTGATTGGGAAAAGATCTTTACCAATCCTATATCTGATAAAAGGCTAATATCCAAAATATACAAAGATCTCAAGAAGGTAGACTTCAGAGAACCAAATAACCCTATTTTAAAAAATGGGGAATAGAGCTAAACAGAGATTTCTCAACTGAGAAAACTCAAATGGCCAAGAAGCACCTAAAGAAATGTTCACCATCCTTAGTCATCAGGGAAATGCAAATCAAAACAACTCTGAGATTCCACCAGTTAGAATGGCTAAGATCAAAAACTCAGATGACAGCAGATGCTGGTGAGGATGTGGAGAAAGAGGAACACTCCTCCATTGCTGGTGGTATTGCAAGCTGGTACAACCACTCTGGAAATCAATCTGGTGGTTCCTCAGAAAATTGGACACTGTATTACCTGAGGATCTAGCTATACCACTCCTGGGAATATACCCAGAAGATGCTCTAACATATAACAAGGACTTTTGATCCACTATGTTCATAGAAGCTTTATTTATAATAGCCAGAAGCTGGAATCAACCTGAATGTCCCTCAATAGAGGAATGGATACAGAAAATGTGGTACATTTACACAATAGAATACTACTCGGCTATGAAAAAAAAATGACTTCATGAAATTTTCAGGCAAATGGATGAAACTTGAAAATATCATCCTGAGTGAGGTAACTCAGTCACAAAAGAATACACATGGTATGCACTTACTGATAAGTGGATATTAGCTCAAAAGTTTGGAATACCCAAGATTCAATTCATAGACCATATGAAGCCCAAGAAGGAGGAAGACCAAAGTGTGGATGCTTCAGTGCTTCTTAGAAGGAGGAACTAAATACTCACAGGAGTAAATATGGAGACAAAGTGTGGAGTAGACACTGAAGGAGGGGCCATCCAGAGACTGCTCCACCTAGGGATCCATCCCATATACAGTCACCTAACGCATATACTATTGCAGATGCCAAGGAGTGCTTGCTGACAGGAGCCTGATATAGCTGTCTCCAGAGAGGCTATGCCAGAGCCTGGCAAATACAGAGGAGGCTCCTCACAGCCAACCATTGGACTGAGCATGGGGTCCCCAATCGAGGAGTTAGAGAAAGGACTGAAGGAGCTGAAGGTGCTTGCAACCTATGAGAAGAACAACAGTATCAACCAACCAGACCCCCTAGAGCTCCTGGGAACTAAACCACCAACCAAAGAGTACACATGGAGGGACCCATGGGTCTGGCTGTATATGTAACAAAGGATGGCCTTCTTGGACATCAGTGTGAGGAGAGGCCCTTGGGCCTGAAGGTGTTCGATGCCCTAGTATAGGGGAATGCCAGGGCGGGAAGATGAGAATGGGAGGGAGTACCCTCACAGAGGCAGGGGGAGGGGGGATGGGATAGGGAGGTTCAGAATGAGAGACCTAGAAAGGGGAACACATTTGAAATGAAAATAAAGAAAATATTCAATAAATAAAGAAAAAATATGGTGGTATAAACATGATTGTTCATTTCATTTTTTGTGTTTGAGACCTAATATATACTTTGTATGCCAACCTTATTATCTACAGGTTTTACATCCAAGAATTCCACCAACCATGAATTTAAAATTCTCGGGGAAAACGTCTGTATTCATGAGCATACATACGGCTAACAAACTAAAGCGTAAGAACATATAAATCTCATGTGAACATGAAAGATGCTAGTTCAAATGAGTTTATCCTTTCCATGTGTTTTATAACTGAAAAGGAGAACGAGGTAGAAAAAGTAAATACAATCAATGTAACTGTGCTGGGAAAGAACAACAAAGAGAGTTTTAGATATGAACAGGTTTGAACCTTGAAGGAAAGGAGATTACCAAAATTAGAAACACATGCACACATGTATACACACACGCACATACATACACAGACACATAAACACAGAGACACACAGACACACACACACATACACACACACAATGTTTCAGAAATACAGATGCAAAGTAGAAGACAAAGGGTACAATGAGAGTTACACCAAAGGCATTGCTGTCACTGCTGCCAAAGCCATTAAAGAGTGATTCTTGATACTCAAAAAATATTCCTCGTTGTCTTGGGTTTCTGGAGTACATTTAAAACATAATCACTTTTGGTTATAAAATGGCAGATACATGATATTCAGGTATGCATTAAGTTCAAGTTAAAACAATTGCTACATAGCTGAGAAGATCTAAAACATCAAAGTCTATACTTTCCGGGATCATTTCTATAATTCATTACTAAAGCATCAAGTCTTACCTACGAAGTTCCTTTTCTAATTCTTCACTTTTCTCCATCTCATGTTCCAAAGCACGTGCCAGGGATTGTGTTGACTGGGTCAGTTCATTTCGTTCTTTCTTTCTGTCTTCAGTCTTTGACAAAATATTTATAAGTAGATATTTTTTTAAATACCCAGAGAGTTATCCTAATTTCTTAAAACAGCATTTCTCATGAGTTTATGGTTAAAATTTACATTAGAGACGGTTTATAAAATGCCAACTAGGAAAATTCAAATAATGACTTTTGTTAAAACACAATACACTGAGTTACACATTTGTCATAGAAGTTAAACTACTGGATATATTTGCTAAAACAGAAGTTTTGAGTACTTGGAAGCTGACAGGTGAACAAGCTGGAGAAGGCAGAATTTATTATTTACTCATAAATGCCAGAAAGCCCAAGAGTATCATTTACAGACACTTGACCTGACAGTCATAAACTCTGTTAGGCCTGAGTGTTCACTGACTGTCCACAAGCAGACATTAGATGGGGTAACAACCAACGAAAACCTGCAGGCTACAAAAGAGACTGCAGGTTTCTAGTTTGGGGGTTGGTTTTAGATAGGCTGTCAGTCCATGCTGGCTTAGAGTAAGTATACAGTGTAGCCAAGAGTGACCTTCTGTCTCCACCTGGCAGGAGAGGAGATTACAGGTGTGCCACTCGTTGGTTTGATGAGATTGATCTGTATAGCCATGCTCAGTCCCCAGCTGATAAGCTGTTGGAAGGATTAGGAGATACGGCCTTTTTGGAGATGTGTCACCAAAGGTGGACTCTGAGGTTTCAAAAGCTCACACCAGTCCAGGTACCTCTCTCAGCCTGCAGACCAGAACGTAACTGATTGGCTACTTCTTCCGTCCTATGCCTACCTGTGTGCTGCCATGCTCCCTGCCATGATGACAGAAAAATAAATAAATCCGGTAAAATTCTGTAAAGAATGTTTACATGGCTTAGTGATTAAGATGTTATTATACTGGACAGGAGAGATGGACTGGAGGCTAAGAGCACTAACAGCTCTAGCAGAGGACCCAGGTTCAATTTCCAGCATCTACATGGTGACTCACAAACTTCTGTTAAATGTGCATGTGGTGCACTGACATAAATGTAAGCTAGACACACATACACATAAAATAAATAAAATTTTAAAAGATGCTACAGAACTTTCATTAATAGTTTTAGATATCCTAAAGTGTTTAAAATCATTCCTTATTAAGACAACTTTAGAGCATTCCTCTTTGGTTTCTATTACATTTTTCATCATCACTTAACTTGAAATGCGAAAAATTCTCATTCTTGCGTGCACTAGCCCAGGAGTGAGTACTGACTTCCCTTCACTGTTTCTTCACTAAGTCTTCTCTATCTTATTTGTTGTGGTGATTGGAATGAGAATGGCCCTTATAGGCTAATAAATTTGAATGTTCAGGCCCCAGTTGGTGGAACTGTTTAGGAAGGATTAGGAGGTACGGCCTTGTTGGGGAAAGTGTGTCACTAGAGTGGACTTTGAGGTTTCAGGCCCAGTCTCTCTGATCTCTGCCTGCTGCTTTTGGATAAACTACTGCTCCAGCACTGTGCCTGTATGCCTGCTGCCTTGATACCTGCCATGATGGTTATGGACAAACCCTCTGAAGCTGTAAGCATTCCCCCAATTAAACACATTCTTTTATAAATGCCCTCAGTCATCGTGTATGGCAACATGAAAATAACTTAGACACCTGCAATGTGCCTGTTTCCTTAGGATTCAAATACTCCTTCCAGGAGGGACTAAGAAGATTCTAAGATTCAGGAAGTTAACAAAACCTAAAAGACTCAGAAAGCTCTGAAATGTACAAGAGTCACAAGGCCTCTCCCCAGTGTTATGAAAGTGTAAACAGTTGTCTAAGAGAGCAGATGCTGTTGTGAGTCTCACTCTGATTTATGCAGTGAACTCTAGGAATGAAGCTCATAAGTCATCACTATGCTGGCACTGGCTTCTCAGTGATGCGTTTACTTTTGAATCACCAATGCTCCTATAAGTAACCTTACTGTTTTACCAAGCTACACTGAGAGCCATTTCTTTGATTCTGCTATTGCTATATATGGGATGACAAGACCTTTGTTTGTGTCTCCTCAGGAGAAGTCACATACAGCTGAATCAACTTTGTCATTTTGTTTTGTTTTGTTTTGTTTTGTTTGTTTTTATCAGTGTGTCTCTCTCCTTCCTCTGGACTCTAATATTCTTGGATAAAGGATCACATCTGCGTGGAACAGAGACTGAAGAAAAGGCCATCCAGAGACTGTCCCACCTGAGGATCCATCCCTCATCCAGGCACCAAACCCAGACACTATTGCTGACGCCAAGAAGTGCTTGCTGACAGGAGCCTGACATAGCTGTCTCCTGAGAGGCTCTGCCAGAGCCTGACCAATACAGATTCAGATGCTTGCAGCCAACCATCAGACTGAGCACAGGAACCCCAACGGAGGAGTCAGGGAAAGGACTGAAGGAGCTGAAGGGGTTTGCACCCCCATAAGAAGAAAAACAATTATCAACCAACCAGAACCCTCCCTCTCCCAGAGCTCTCAAGGACTAAGCTACCAACCAAAGAGTAGTTTGATACAGCTGCATATGTATCAGAGGATGGCCTTATCTAGCATCAATGGGAGGGGAGGCCCTCAGTCTTGAGAAGGCTCCATGCCCCAGCATAGGGGAATGGTAGGGCAAGGAGGTGAGAGTGGGTGGGTAGATGGGAGAGCAGCTAATAGAAGCAGGGGAGGGAGTGGGATGGGGCTTGTAGAGGAGAAACTGGGAAAGAGGACAACATTTGAAATGTAAATAAATAAAATATCCAATAAAAATGGAGAAAAAAAGAATCTCATCTGCAAGACTATTTTTAATTACTCAGAATCTCATACTAAAATCTTCTCTCTTTTCTTTTTTTTTCCCCTGAGAAGAGTTTCTCTGTGTGGCCTTGGCTGTCCTAGAACCTATTCTGTAGACCAAGCTGACCTTGAACTAACAGAGATCCAAATACTTCTGCCTCTTGAGTGCTAGGATTAAAGGTATACACCACCACTGCCTGGCCTAAAATATGATTTTCGATCCAACAAATCCAATAAAAAGTTGAAAGTCAAAAAAGTTGAAAGTCATCAAGATCTTTTAAAATATTTATCAGCCAGGCAGTTGTGACACATGCCTTTAATCTCAGTACTTAGGTAGCAAAGGCAGGCAGATCTCTGTAAGTTAGAAGTCAACCTACTCTACAGAACAAGTTCCAGGACAGTCAGGGTTACAAAGAGAAACCCTGTCTCAAAAATGCAAGTGTTATCAGATGCTGGGGAGGATGTGGAAAAAGAGGAACACTCCTCCATTGTTGGTGGGATTGCAAGCTGGTACAACTACTCTGGAAATCAGTCTGGCGGTTCCTCAGAAAATTGGACATAGCCTTATCTGAGGACCCAGCTATACCACTCTTGGGCATATACCCAGAAGATGCTCCAACATATAACAAGGACACATGCTCCACTATGTTCATAGCAGCCTTATTTATAATAGCCAGAAGCTAGAAAGAACCCAGATGTCCTTCAACAGAGGACTGGATATAGAAAATGTGGTACATTTACACAATGGAGTATTATTTAGCTATTAAAAAATGACTTCATGAAATTCTTAGGCAAATGGATGGAACTAGAAAATATCATCCTAAATGAGGTAGCTCAATCACAAAAGAACACACATGGTATGCATTCACTAATAAGTAGATATTAGCCCAAAAGCTCGCAATACCCAAGATTCAACTCTCAGACCACATGAAACTCATGAAGAAGGAAGACCAAAGTGTGAGTGCTTCAGTCCATCTTAGAAGGAGTAACAAAATACTCATGGGAGCAAATATGGAAACAAAGTGTGGGACAGAAACTGAGGGAGGGGCTGTCCAAAGACTGTTCCACCTGGGTATCCATCTCATGTGCAGTCACCAAAGGCAGATGCTGATGTGGATGCCAGAAAGTGCATGCTGACAAGAGCCTGATATAGCTGTCTCCTTAGAGGTCTGCCAGAGCCTGATATATATAGAGGCAGATGCTCACAGATAACCATTAATCTGATCATAGGGTTCCCAATGGAGGAGTTAGAGAGAAAACTGAAGGAGCTGAAAGGGTTTGCAGCCCCATGAGGAGAGCAACAATGCCAACCAACCAGAGCTCTCAGGGTCTAAACCACCAGCCTGGGAGCACACAGGGAGGGACCCATGGCTCCAGCTGTATATGTAGGAGAGGATGGCCTTATCGGGAATAGGTGGGAGAGGAAGTCCTTGGTCCCATGAAGGCTGGATGCCCCAGGTGGGAGTGGGTGGGTGTGTGGGGGCACATCCTCATAGAAGCAGGAGGAGGGGGGATGGGATAGGGGGTTTGTGGGTTGAGTAAAATGGGGAAAGGGGACAATATCTGAAATGTAAATAAAATATCCAATAAAAAATTAATTTCAAAAAAACAAAAAACAAAATATATATATACATATACATACACACATAAATACATACATACAATAGTAAAAATAAAAGTCTTTATCCTGGGCCTGAACAAATGGCTCAGTAAGAACACTTGATGCTCTGGCAGAAGACCTGGGTTGAGTTCTCAAGCAACTACATCATGTGGATCACCATCTCCTGAAACTCAGTATCAGTGCTATCTTCTGAGCTTTGCTGGGAGAGCACACATGTAGTGCATACACAAATAACCACATACACACACACACACATACAGGCACTCACACATGTGAGTACACACATACACACACATGAAATAAGTGTAAGAAAAGAATCTGCAAGGAGAAAAACGAGCACTATACATTCAATAACTCCAGGATACAATCAGGAGGCCAAAGCTATGAATCTACAGACAGAAGGCTAATCTGAGATAAACACAGAAAAGGCATAAGAAATCTATTCAGTGAAATTATGGAAGAAATTCCAAAAATATAGTGATATGGACATTCAAACACTAGAAATATGTAGAAGTCCAAGTAAATATAACACAAGAAACTTCCCACAATATATTATTATCAAGATGCAAAAATGCCAGTGAAGAAACAATAGTCAATGGTATCAATTAAGTTAATAATTATTAAATGTAAAAGAAATTTCTCCTTCCCTAGAAAGGCAGAAATTTTAGAATAACACGGGACCTCATAGTAGGGACCATCAAACCAAGGAAAATGTGAGATGATGTACTTCAAACCAAAAGATATCTTTTTTGACCAAGCTAGCGCTTCAGAAATTACCTAAAGGAATACCATAGAAAGAAGAAAGAAAGGTAGTCTGAATCATGAGAACAAAGGAAAGATTAAGTTCCAAGAGAGGGGTGTCAGAACCCAGATCAGTAGGAAGAAATCTGTCCCTATGCCAACTGTACACCAGGCACTGACCTCGGTGCCTGCTCCACACTTTCCTCTGGGAGCCACAATCCATTTCCACAGTCTTTGTTTTAGAAATTGATTCTAGGGAAGGTTTGTGCTTCTAAAGCATCAGCCACTGAAAGAATTTTAGAATGCAAGAATATCCACATCCCTTATCTGCCTAAAGCCAAGGCTAAGGTCTCCTGGTGGAATCAAGTGCATAAAACAGCTCTAATTTTCACCCACTCCTTTACAAAATAAGCACTGTGCCAAAACTCCCTGTCGTCCAGGGCAAGGCTTCTCTCCTAGGATGTAGAAGCATTCTGATTTTAATCTAAGATAATTCTGACAAAGTCACTTACAATGAATTCATTCAGTTTGATATTTCAATAAACATTAAACCTGTTTCCAGTGTGGAGTCTGTTACTTGAGATTGCATGGCTCAAATGCTGAACAAAGGCTAAGGCAGCTGTGCTATCTGAAACGTTTAGGACCATCCATCCAGCTGCAGGGCAAAGATCAGATGTCCACACAAACCAGAAGGTAACTGCACTCAGGTAATAAACTTTGCTGCCAATAGTTCAAAATAGGGGCAGTTTACCCTTTGTGCACCCCCAAGTCCCTGACTTCCACTGGAGAAGAAGTGGGTATGGTTACTCTCTCCTCTGTTTGGAACCCCAGGACCCCTTAGCCTTTTGGCATAAACTATCCTCTTAACCCATGCTCTTTTCATCAAAAATGTCAAAAGTTCTTTTTCTTGTGTTTGTTTTGCTATTCCAGTTTGTCTGGTTTTGTTTTATTCTTCTTCTTAGATTCCAGTTTGCTTTCTAAGGAAAGAAAGAAAAGGTGTGGGTTGAGATGGGAGAGAAGGTGGTAAGCAACTCAGGGAGGAAAAAACCATGTTAATGATCATGGGGTTCCCAATGGAGGAGTTAGAGAGAAGACTGAAGGAGCTGAAGGGGTCTGCAGCCCCATGGGGAGAGCAACAATGCCAACCAACCAGAGCTCCCAGAATCTATACCACCAGCCTGGGAGCACATAGGGAGGGACCCATGGCTCCAGCTGTATATGTAGGGGAAGATGGCCTAGTTGGGCATAGATGGAAGAGGAGGTCCTTAGTCCCATGAAGGCTAGATGCCCCAGTGTGGGGGAATTCGAGTGTGGAGAGGTGGGAGTGGGTGGGTGGCTGGGTGGGTGGGTGGGTAGGTGGGTGGGTGAGTGGGAGCACATCCTCATAGAAGCAGGAGGAGGGGAGGATGGGACAGGAGGTTTTTTGGGTGGGGGGGAAATGAGGAAAGAGGATAACATCTAAATGTAAATAAAATATCCAATAAAAAAATCTATCCTAACCCAAAAGAAAAAAAAAGAATATCTTGCTTGAAAAAAAGTTTATTTCCAATAAAAGAAAAATAGAAGAAAAGAATGTCCAAAGCAAGACCTTCAAGTAATACAACTCCACCACCATTTAGGAAGGAGGTGCCATGGCCTTGACAATTGCTTATAACAGAGCAACTACCATTTTATCTGCTTTATGTACTGTGATATCCTGTGTGAGCCCACCTGCTTCCTGCTCCATATTTAGACTTCGTTATGTCCCTGAAAGACCCCATTACCAACTGAGCCCTTTTGTGTGGTGCTGGGCATTAGACCCAGGATGTTAGGAATGCCAGGCTCATGTTCCACAACTGTGGTACGGCCCCAGCTGTAGTTAATCATTTACAGTGCTAGACTTTTCTATAAGCACCAGAGTACCAACCATTTCTTTCTTTTGAATAATCTACTTTTCTAAACAGACATGATGATAAGGAGATTCTTCTCACATGGCATTCAACCATATTGTATGGAAGCCTGTGTCAGATAGACATCTCACCTTCCCTGTCTAGACTCTTCACCTCAGAATGTATATATCAACTACTCTCTAGTGAAGAAACCTATGATCTGAGAACATTCTAGAAGAGTTGAGTAGACTAGAAATGACTGTTTAATTTAATTGCATATTTCTAATTCATTCATTTGAGCATCTATAGAAAATCCCTCATTACATTTGAATAAGTTTAAGAGGCTTAAGGTACTAAAATAAAAGTTTCGATTTTTGATATCCTAATATATTTCTCTATGACACTTATATAAAGAATGTCTATTAGAACTCTTATTGACAGAATACTCTTTATTGATATATTGTCATATTATAGATTCAGGAAAAGCATAGTAATGAGTGGACTGATTAACTAATAAGAATAATAAAAACCTTTCCAATGTCTCTTCAGTTCTAAGGAACATCAGTCATGCAAAGAGATAAGTCAGTAGAAACAAATACATCATTCTGGCAACTCAGTACTCATAGTACAATCTTATGATCCCAATTTCTTTGTCTAAAATATTTTTAATTATGTGTTTACAAGTGTTTGTGTTTGGTAATGCGCACATATAAAGGTCTTGCTAGACAAGATTTTGACAACTGAAACTCAACATTTCATGTGTGTGAAATGTTGGATGTCAAAATCTTGTCTAGCAAGATCTTACTACACAAATCATTAATTCTATGAATTCAAATTCTTCTGTTAAGTCAAGAGGACTTGCACCCTTACATGTACTATCACTGTGAACACAGAAACTTTTGTCAATTAAATCTTTCCTGTTTCCTATAATTTTCCCATAAAGTAGCACTGAGGACAGAAAGTTTTCCCTTTGTGGTGGCAGAAATGAATAAGAGACTAACTTACCAAATCTTCTCGTAACAGTTGACGCTCAATCTCTTCAATTTCTTCTGCTTGGTTCTTTACTGAGTCTTCTAACTTGAGACAGTCAACTTCCAGCCTAAAAGGATTTTACAGAATATACTCAATTCTTATTGATTCAATTCTTAAGAAACTGAAAAGAAGAAAGATGGTGGAATCCAGGGTCTTGCCCATGGAAATTATGTAGCAAAGCACTGACTTAAATCCCAGCCTGAAATTAGGCACTGCACATAACTTAAAGTCTCTATGGCTTAACAAAGGTGTGTTTATTGCCCCAGCCAACACAATCTCCACACTACATTGCTGATCAGATTTACAAATATTTAAGGTATTTTGCATTCGGCTTTAAGTCATACTTCCATAGCAGATGTTCCATTCTTGCAGAACTCAGGACACCTTCTCTCTGTGCATCTTCTTGTAACTGTGCCTCCTGCAACTAAAACAAAGAAGAAAACGAAGGAGCCTATGGTAGTCATCTAGAACATATTTGTCCATCAACTATTTTCATGCTAAAATTCTACTCAAAACAGCTGCATCCATTCACCATTTAGCTTTTGTTTACAGGAGCTTCCATGCTGTACAGGCTGAGAACAGAGTTGGTAGAGCAAGAACCTTATTCCTGTAAAGCCTATAACCATATGTTCCATTCCTGTATAAAAGTTATCAGCTTCTGCTCATGAATGGAAGCACATGATTCTTGTTTTCAAATTATGTATTTCAAATTAAGTATCATGTTGATGAGTGATCAAAGGATAACAATAATAAAAACCAAGATGATCCTCTGAGTGACAAGTGAATGATTCATGAAATTGAGTGGCAGTGTCAATATAGATGGGTCTATATCCTGGCTCCACTGAACTAGAATGAATTAGCTTTCTATACTTCAGTGACTCTGACTCTAAAATGAAGAGATTCATTTATCTACAACAGTGAACGCCTATAATAAGAGTAATTGATAAGGAACCGTATATGATATTTGCTTTCAGCACTCGTACTTTGTGGTTTAAGTCATGATAAAAGCTGGTATTATAGGTACTTGGCACACCAGTAAAGGTCTTTTATGCAAGGGGTGCTATACTTACACTGCTGAAAGCAGCAGCTGCCCATAATTTGTCCCTAATAATTCATAAAATTCAAACTGTACAAGCAACCAATACTTCTTGCAGGATATTGGATCACACTGTGAACCCCAAGATTGTGTTAATTATTGGAAAAAACCTGAATTTTGAGTTATGGTATAACACACTCTTAGCACATAGCTTTAATCTAGGAGCTTTCTGTTTAAATATCATAACAGGATTAAATAAAGTCAACCCTTGGTCAAGAGGCGGAACGAGCAAACAGTTGACAGGAAATGAATATAAAATTATTAAGAAAAAGGAGCGAGAGTAAGAGGGAGTAGGGAGGACAGACAGAGAGACGCCCAGGAAGTAGAAAGGAGAGACATTCATTGTGAAGGAAGTTTTTTGAGATGGTGTAAGAGAGGCTATGGCTTCTGGACCATTGGCTGAGGAGGAAGGTCAGCTGGATGCTTGCCCTGACCCTCTGAGCTAGCAGGCTTGCAACACAGCATACGGCTCCCAAGTCTTCATTAATAAAATCGAACAATTAAGATTTTATTTAAAAAAAACAGCAACTTCTTCTACTTATAATTAATAATTAACTTTTTCTCAGTACTTAACTTTCAGAATGATGATCGTATAGTAAAACGCAGACAGAACCTTTTACCCAGCGTGTAACTGGTGTAGTGCCTGATAAAGACCAGCATACTATTGGGCTCTATTTTGAGATCAAGGTTCTTGAATCAATGCATTCCTCATGGGTATTCATGCTGAGTTGCCTCACCCAGAACTCTGAATAGTAGTTGAAGGGTATGTGGAGTGCATATCAGGAAAGTGGTAGCCAGACAAAAATACTACAAATCTTCCTTCTCACTTGGCTACATAACAAGGAACCCAAATCTCATTTGTCTCCATAGTTAGAAAAACACATTTTGTCTTTGACAAAATAATTATCTATAAGAGTAAGTGCTTTCAATTTTTATACTTAATTTCTTACCCATATTTAATGGGTAAGCATTTTATCCTAACAGGTTTTATCCTAACAGATTGTTAAGCAAAAATGTGTTCAGTTTAAGTAAAAGTTACATGTTTATCAAATATCATTTCTCCTTTTGTAAATTTATACTTATACAAGATTATTGCTTAAACAAATGAACAACAATACAAAAACTGAAAGAGCAATGTGAAATTACAGGCTAAGTTACAAACAAACAACGACTGAAATAGTAAGGTCAATAATTTTAGCTGTATTATAATTTCATCACAAGATGAGAATTTATTTAACACCTAATAATACAACAATACACTGGTTATACAACAGCATCATGGTCAGCATCATGCCCCACACATGATACTGCCCAGCGTTACAACAGATGTGCTACAGTTGTGTAAGTAGAACCTTTGGTGTTTACAAATGATGAAATTGTCAATAAACATGTTTCTTAACTAGTATCCCTTTTGTGACACAACAGATAGATAGATAGATAGATAGATAGATAGATAGATAGATAGATAGATAGATAGGGTAGATAGGGTAGATGGGTAGACAGATAAATGAGTATAAATAGATATTATACACACAATACACAAATTAATGTTAATCAGATATGAAAATTGCAGTAATAATCAATTTACCTGTGCCACACTGTTGTGTAAAGCCTTTAAGTTCATACTTAGATTCCCTAGGAACATTTCATGTTGACTGACTTCAAATTCTTCATCATAGCATTGATGGTACAGTGGTGACCATAACTGTCTTCCAAATTCTTCATGATATTGCCTCTCCCCACCTTCTAACTCAGTTTTCATTTTTCCATCAAAACAACTATCATTTATTATTTTCTCATTTTGTTTTAAGGTATACCTGCAATTAAATATGCTAATATTAATATTTATTGTGGTATTTGAATGAAAATGGTCCCATTGACTCAGATAATTGAATGCTTGATCCCCAGTTAGTAGAACTGTCTGGGAAGGATTAGGAAGTACAGTCTTGTTGGAGGAAGTGTGTCCCTGGGCACGGGATTTGAAATTTAAAAATCCCACACTAGTCCCAGTTCACTCTGTCTCTGCCTCATGCTGCAGCACAGGATGTAAGCTCACAGCTACTGCTCTAGCACCATGCCTACCTCCCTGATGCCACGCCCCTTTCCAAAATGGATGATCCTTTTGGAACCAAGAGCCTCATAACAACACCTTCTATATGTTGCCTTGCTCATGGTATTTTGCCAATATAAAAGGAAGTAAGATATTCACTCATTAGAAAGAAAATGTTAATAATTGTAACTGAGATTTTCATCACACTAATAAATCAATACCTTATTGACTTAATAAAACTGCTTCATCCCATTTAGTTCACATGTTTTTATTTTGTATTTCAGTCACTTTGAAAGTTCATACATACTCGAAAGACAATAGTAAAAGAACATTTTCTTGACTGGTAAGTTTGCTTAAAATTAACTCTTGTAAAGAATATTTTAAAAGTCATTTTGAAATTATTCAGCTATGGTGCAAATTGAAAATCATCTTTTCTACACTAACATAGTTATTTCTCAACTAAAATAAATGATTTGAATTTAATCATTTTTTAAACTTACGGCTTATGAACAAATTTCTAAAATAACTAGAAATTACATTTTATCTTTCTAAACTATGCAAGTAGCTGGGCATGGTGATGCATGTGTTTAATTCCAGAACTCAGGATGCAGGTAGATCTCTGAGTTCCAGGACAGCCAGGGCTGCACAGAGAAACTCTGTCTCAAAAAAATAAAATATTACAAGTAGCCCCAAAATGATTTTATGGTGTTGATAGCACCTTGAAATGCCACTACACACTAGCTGTCTGCACATTGCCATAATCTGACTAGAACAAGGAGTCTCAAACTTGTTATCCTACTTTTTAGTACTACAGCCTATCTTGTTGAGTATTACATATTTTGTCAGCAATTTCAAAAGTCAAATTTGAATAGTATAGGACCTAATTAATCCAACAATAAAAAGTAATATATACTTGCACCATTGAAATGCAAATCTTCAGTGTGTAAGACAGACATGTTCAATAAGTTAATTACTCATTTATTCTCAACTCCTTTTAATATTGAGTGTATGTATGATATGCACATATGTTCCTGTGTATGTGTACTTGTGCATGTATCTACACATGACATAGCCAGAAGCTAATATCAGATATCTTTCCAAATCATTCCTCATATTATTTTTTGAGTTAGACGCTCTCTCTGGACCTAAAGCTCACTTACTTGCCCAGAACGACTGACCAGTGATCTCCACGTATCCTCCCTTCTCAGCATCCCTTGTACTGATATTACAGATGTCCAGCACAACACCAAACTTTTCCGAAATATCCTAGGGAACAAACTGGAGCCCTCATGTTTGCATGGCCAGCGCTTTACTTACTAAACCATCTCCCCAGCCCTCCAGCGTTTCTGTGTTTTGTTTTGTTTTGTTTTGTTTTGTCTTTAACTTCATGTATGCCAAAAACCAAAGTATCGATAGGCCTGGGTTGTCTAGCAAATATACGAGACTCTAGTGGATCACACACAGTTAAAATTAACTAAAAACTACAATGTTTACATTCTAGGGGGAAAAAAGTGGGTTCGGGAAAATGATCATTTTATATTTTTGTGGTATATGATTAATGTGAACTAGCCTGAGTACAACTTAACCCCTTCTTTAAAATTCCTATTTTTTCAGTTATTAATTACATTGAGGCTTTAACTCAAAATAAATAATACAGAAATATAAAAATATATAAATTCTGTTTCTTGCCGGGCAGTGGTGGTGCGCACCTTTAATCTCAGCACTTGGGAGGCAGAGGCAAGCAGATTTCTGAGTTCGAGGCCAGCCCGGTCTACAGACTGAGTTCCAGGACAGCCATAGCTACACAGAGAGACCCTGTCTCAAAAAACAAAAAAACAAAAAAACAGTATGTTTCTTGACATATTAATAGCAACAGAATCATGAAAACTGCCATGAAATCTTAGTGTTCTTATTTTGGAAGGATAAAAGTCATTTAATTATTAGAATTATTTTAGTTAAAAACTGATAATATTACCAACAGTATGTTTTATTGTTTTTACTATTTTAAGACTTTATTTTATGCGTATGAGTGTTTTCCCTGCATGTATATCTGTGCATCACATGCATGCCTGGTGCCCGTGGAAGCAGAAAAGAGCATTAGATGCCCAGGAACTGGATCTAGAGATGGTGACCTTTCATGTAAATGCTGGGAATCAAACCTGGAAGAGCAGCCAGCGCTGCTCTTAACTGCTTAGCCATCTCTTTAGCCCCTATTTATAATAATAAAAAACTTTTAAGTAGGGGTCTCACTGTATATCTCTAGCTATCCTTAGAGCTTGCTACATAGACTAACTAGGCTGGGATTTAAGGTTTGCAGCAAAATGTTAAACTATTTCAAGCATTTTATATTCCACAAGACTAAGAAGCTTTCTTCCATGAAAGACTCCAGAAGACAAGTCAATAATTACAAAATATCACTTACAATTCTATAGCATCACAATACAGTTTATTTTCAACTTATCTGCTGTACCTCAGATTGCAGAGTTCTTCCCATTCTGTTTCTCGTTGCTCTAGCTGCGATAGTGCTTCTGTAATTTTGGAGAGTTCTCTGTGTACTGGACCATGCTTAGTTTCCATTTTTTTAATTTCTTTTCTAAGTACATCACCACAACTATCTTTAATTTCTAGCAGTCTTTTACATAAATATAATTCATCCCAGAGTCCCAATAGGCAACTAGAATCTCTATCTAGGAGAAAACAATATAGAAGCAAAATATCTTAATTTTAATACATTTTTAATGCATGATGGACTATACATTTTGGCACCCTCTAGTTTGTTTACTGAGCTAACAGTTCCTTGCGTGTGGACAATGTGAAACATATTTGTCTGACTTTCCATATATGATTGACAAGATCCTGCTTATGTTCAGCTTCATGACCCTTATAAAACCAGATAAATACTGTAAGAAAAGAGGGGACTGCCTTCACTGGGCCCAAGGAAGACATTGCTACACTAAGAGATCAATGATGAACAGGATTCAGGCAGAAGGAAAAAACCATCTAGCCAATCTGCAACATTTCCTGAGACGCCATTGCAGTCTGCTTTCATACAGCATAGGGGGAGAGGGAGAGACTTATAATATTACCTGAGACCACTGAGGCCAAATAGATGAGATCATTTTGTCGACAATATTTAAGACAAGATGTTATCAGCAATGATCAGGATCCCAAACCTTGCAAAGGGAAGGGACTGAACTGGAACCAGAGAGATTGTCTGGTTCCTCTGTGGAGAGCTTCCTACTGAGACTCTCTCTAAACTAAAAAGTGGGGTTATACCTCAGTATCTGATTAGCATTTATAAGGTCTAAGGTTTAATCCCTGGAACTGAAAGAAACAGAAAAGAAAGTGTTTTCCAGATAGTGACAAAAGTGAAAGACGTCTAACTAGCCTCTGTGAAGTCCCATCTTACAGATGTAGAGTGGTAACAACAGTGGTGAAGAGATCTCAGAGGAAAATGAAAAACACTGCTTGCAAGGAGGCCAGTTGGGTGGGAGGAGTCACTCCTGATGTTCCATAGCACAGAGAACAATACAATAACAGTGAGTGACAACTGCCTGATGATTTCAGAATAGTGGAGCGCACTGATGATGCTGTGTCAACAAGCAAACACAACTATGAGGAGAGAGCTGACAACCACCCTCACCAGAATCAGCCATAGTGTGTATACGCATGGAGACGTCAACCACGTGTACACACAACCACGCATCATTTAAACATAAAAATACATAAACAGAATTTAAAACTACACTATCAGAATATCATCAATTCAGAAAAATGTGATAAGCAGATAAAGATCTATACACTAAAACCTACAAATATTGCTGAGAAATCTAAAAGAATCATATCCAAGTAATCATATACTTTGCTAGAGTCAAATTATTACTTGAACATTGATTCTCTACATTCCAATTCCCTCAAAGTCACAAGGATTTTTAAAAATCTTTCTTGTTTACATTTATTTATATAATGTGTATATATGTATATGTACAAGTGCATATATGTCACGGGTCATGTGCAAATGTCAGAGAACAAAGTGTAGAAATTGGATCTCTCTTTCCACCTCTGAGTTTTTGAGATCAAACTCAGGACATCAGGTTTGGTAACCTGATGCCTTAGTTTATTTTCTATTGCTGTAAAGAGACACAGTGACAAAGGCAACTTATAAAAGAAACCATTTAATTTAGGACTCATGGTTCCACAGCCATCATCATGGTGAGCATGGCAGCAGGCAGGCCGGATGCTTTTGCAGCAACTGAAAGCTTACATTTTGGTTCACCAGCAGGAAGCAGCAAGAACTCACCAAAAATGACATAGGCTTTAGAAACCTCAAAGCCCATTCCCAAAGACACACCTTGTATCAAAAGGCCAGACCTCCCACCCTTCCCAAACAGCTGCACCAACTAGGGACCAAGCGCTAGAATATATGAGACCATGTGGGCCATTCTCACCCAAACCACAATGCCTACAATACCTACAAAGCCAAAGACACAGTACTGTTTTTAATTGAAAATAAAACTCCTATGGAGGGAGGTCTAGGAATACAGTTTAGTGGAAGAGCAGTTACCTACCATGCACAAAGCCTGTGTTTAACCCTCACTGCTGAAAAAAAAAAAAAAGTACACCACATCTAAAATAGTCTCCAGATCCAGAGCAGTGATAGGGTAGTTAGGGTTGTTTCATCTACTAGAGAGCTACAAAAGTCAGAATCCATGTGACGCTGGCAAAGTCATAGAAAGGGGACTACAGTTTAAAAGACAGAGAAGGCCAACATAAAACAGCTAGCTTGTTTTTGATAAAAAAAAAAAAAAAACAATTGAAGTGCAAAAGGAGATTACAGCATCTTA